GAAGCTCGTCATAAATCCACGGAGCTCCGTACTCTTCGAATGCGTTGCTTCTCTCCCAGAGCGCATCTTGAGGCATTCCGGGCTGCAGGTCCCGAACCTGTGATGTTCGGCTCCCGGAGGAAAGTAAAATAGAGTGCTCCATCGTGTAACGACATAATACGGTCGATTTTGGGTGGTTCACGGTTTACTGAGTGTCAAGCTGATGCTGATGAAGCATCTCACGTGACGCCAAGGTAAGGTGAAGATAAGTCAAAGAGTAATCTGGGTAGCTGAAGCGTAGCATATTCGTAGGAGGTCTGTAGCTGGTCGTATGCTTGGTCGTGTTTGTTTTGTAAAAGTGCCCAAAGGTCTTTGTGATGTAAGTTAGTAATCACAAAAGTTCCTTGCCTTTATCGTAATTGTGGACACTCGGGATTTTCGAGGGCGGTAATTCGTTCAAAGTCCTAAAAGTGCCCAACGACCCCTCACCGCCAGTGTGATAGACGAAATGATTCGCCATGTCATCTACCAAAATGTCTCAAAGGCCCCTCTTCGCTTCACACCCGGGCTGTGCAAAGGAAAGCGCACGTTGGTTGGGACTTTGGAGATTTGAGGGACTTTCCGGACTTTCAGGTCTTCTAGGATTTCTCACCACATTGAAGGTGCGACTCTCATATATAAGACGTGCCACAGACCGCTTATTGCTTTTGGATTTCCTCTGCTTCTTGTTTACTAACATTCATACCTCATGTACAGGCTAGAAACTAGAAAATACATTTGATTTCCCCAAAGATCTACTCAGTTCTTAGAAACGCTCACCATGTCACCATTCATTGAGCAGCTCACCATCAATGACCCCGTGCTATTGCCTTTAGCGTTATCCCCTCTCGGACTCGGAGACCCTTCGACGCGAAGGTACCGCACAATCAAGACGTTGACTCTTCACTGGCAAGACGAGGCATTGGATCACTGCGCCTATGGCCCTGCACGAGAAGCCAGAATGCTGGCTAAGACGTTCGCTGAGTGGGGCTGGCAGACCGAAGACTACATCATTCCGGTCAACAATCCTGCCGAGAGCATCCGCGAGTTCCTCAAGAGCAAGACTGATGACTCTGGGGGCGACGAGCTCTTGATAGTCTACTATGTAGGCCATGGATTCAAGAGCCATCAGGGACCCCTATCTCGACCCTTTGCGGTGGGCACACAGGGCCATTCAAGCACCGACCCTGTCGTTCTCGAATGGCCCGTCATTCGCTCCGTCCTCGAGGCCGCCCAATCCGACGTCGTCATGTTCCTCAACTGCTGCCACGCTGCCGACTCCTGGGTCTCGCGTAACCTGGAGCATGACGAGTACATAGGGCCAACCGGAAAGGTCATGGTCTGTCCCCCTTAGCCAGTGCTTCTTATTGAATCCGTTGGCTGATATGTCCGATAGTGTATTCTCGCTGCTACGAACATAGACGAGGAGGCATTTATGAAGCAGCGCTATTCATTCGGTACTCTCTTGAAAAGGGTGCTCGACTCTACAAGGACCACGCTCGGCTCCGATGGGTCCATCTCCATCGCCATGCTGGTAGAGGCGATGAACGATGAGATAGAGAAGTCGCAGGCGTTTTTGGTAGTGGATGTTGTCCGAGGGGGCTATTTTGTACGAGGAGGCCATCTGTTCATGTATCCCCAACTTATGGCCCCGTCTGCCCACTACACCGTACCGGACCGGGACATTATGTTTCACAGATTGGGATTGCACGACTTCCCGATGCTGCACCTGTATCAACGCCTGTCGGGGCGGGCAGGGAAGTACTGGGAGAAGCTAGTATAAATGATACTCATGATCATGTTTAGCTGCTCTTTGGTAGCTGTGAAGGGAAGAATGCTTCGAGATCTGCCGTAGGTGAATGCAAATCTTGTAGCGCATTTTTGGCCGTTGAGAGCGGTTAGGTACCTCTATAACATTTCACCGCATAACCCCCTTGTAACCATAGGCGGCTTGGCAACTATAGGACGCTCGATATTGCCTATCACTTGCCCACTTCGTACCAGTATACTCTCAAGAGTATACCGGGGCGATGGACGTGCCGATCTCGCAGCCCGTCGCAGCTCGCAAAGCGCGCTTCCGCCTTCCCCGCACAGAGCGAAAAATCGTGTCCCTTAGATAGTGTAGAAGCTAACATTGAAGGCGGCCGAGATCAGCGTCTTCTCCAACGACAAGAGTCAGGTACGAATCCTTGGGCTAGGCCATCATAGACGAACCGGACGTGACCTGTCGAATTTTCTGACGGCCCCTTATCCTATCGCAGCTGGAGCGAGACTATGCCTTCAGACCGGCCGCAGGATCCGACTTCACATGCCTTTCCCACCAAGCAGCTCACAATCTTAGGTGCGCACCTATGCTTGGACCCTGATTCAAGTACAAAGACATAGCCTGACCGCATCGTAATCATAGCAATATGCCGCTTCTCGGAGCCCATCGCCTTCAATTCCATCCTCGCCTACACGTATGTGATGGTGAAGGATCTGCACGGAGGCGATGATACCGACGCATCCTTCTACGCCGGCCTCCTGGTCTCGGCCTACGCCGTCGCCGAGGCATTGACGGCCATTGGCTGGGGCGCCCTCTCCGACCGGTACGGGAGGAAACCCGTCGTCCTCTTCGGCCTCGGAGGCGTGGCCATTTCGAGCCTCATCTTCGGATTGGCTAAAGAGTATTGGGTTGCGTTGCTCGCGCGATTCATCGGCGGCGCCCTGAATGGCAACGTTGCGGTTCGTGAACTACTGCCTCACCTTACCTCACCGTCTCTAGCAGTACCCAATTACCATGTCAACCCAAGCAAAAGCAGCATCCTGATATGACTTTTGACAATTGCTTACTCTTTCTGCAGGTAATGCAAACCATGGTAGCAGAGATGGTCAAGAATCCTGAGCACGAGCCCAAGGCATACGCCACACAGCCGTTCGTATGGACCCTAGGTGGTATCATAGGCTCAGCTATGGGTGGCTTCTTGGCTCAGCCTGCCAGATTCTACCCTTCCCTGTTTCCCGCCGACGGACTCTTCGGAAGATATCCATACCTCCTTCCTAACCTCGTGTCCGTAGCCGTCATCGTGTTGGCCATCCTACAAGGCATATTCTTCCTCGAGGAGACAAATCCCCGAGGCAAGAAGTCCGCTCATGAGTTTGTCTTCGAAGAGGAAGACGAAAGTGTCGATGAGCGGACCCCTCTTCATCGTCACAACGACCGGAGGTCTTCTGCACGCAGCCACTCGCGGGCCACGACCGAGAGAACTATGTTCGCCGAGGAAAGCCTTCCGCTGCCGGTTGAGCAGAATTTTGACCTCAGACGATCGTCGTTCGGGACGGTACACTCGATCAAGTTACCAATCTCAGCTACGAAGAATACCGAGACTTATAAAGGCCCGGCCTTCAACTTTACCATTATCATGGTTACCATCGCATTTGTCTTGGTTTCCTACCATCAGATGGCCTTTTCCAGTCTCTTACCAACGCACCTCCTCGATAAGCCAGCTGCGGCACCTGGTCAGATCGATTTGATTGGTGGTCTAGGATATACAGTCCACGACGTGGGGGTTTACTTGGCCGTCAACGGTGTCCTGGGGCTGTTCATCCAGGCCATCATATTCCCCATCTTCGTGGACAAGGTTGGCGTTTGGAAGTCGTTTGTCCTCAACATCGTCCTCTACCCCCTAGCATATGTGGTGATGCCGTTTCTCTCTGCTCTGCCTCCCGCCCTCGTGTCACCGGGGATATACCTCTCGCTCATCATGCAGAGCTTCTTTGGCATCGTGGTTATTCCTTGCGCTCTTATTCTGCTAAAGGATGCTACGCCGTCACCTCTGGTCCTAGGGAAAGTCAACGGTCTAGCGATGTCGGCCTGCTGTCTGGCCCGGACAATTTCCCCGCCGCTGGTTGGCATCATCTACAGCGCCGGCGGATCGGCGGCTGCTTGGCTTAGCTGCGCTGGCGTCGCGGTGATTGGGGTCATGCAGCTCTTCTGGGTGCCGAGGAAGCACGTTCACGGCATCGTGATGGACGACGGTACACGGATGGCGAAGACCATTTCGAACTCGCGGAACGAGGAAGACGGAAGATGTCCTGTCGTCGCAGAGTAAACCTCGCTCAGAAGCTATCAACACAGGAATCATAGACATATATCTCGTAACAACTACGACTAGGCACGCTTGTTGCGGCCGGCCCTTTCTGGCAGGGAAGAAATAGGGGTAAAGGAAAGATAGCGATAGGGGTGATAAAAGAGACAGCGAGGCAGAGGCAACTCGGTGAGAAGCACCACAAGGCCGCCTCGCCATAACGAAATACATGAATTACGACTTAGAAAATATGAAATATTGTCAGTTCAACGTGGTTTATGATTGCCTCCAGAATACGATTTTCTCCAAAAATAGGATCGCCTCCAAAGCCTGTGGAAACCCATATTCCAATTACTTTAAGTACGCTACCAGTAACATCAGTGCACCCAAGCTCATACTCTAGAACAGAAACGGACATTATATCGAGATCGTATAAGCGCTCGGGGGTAACAATACCTTTATCAACCCAACAGGAAGGTAGGTAGGTAATGTAGCAACCTTATCCTGTGAATCCGAGAGGTGTGCTTTCTCTAACTGTAGGAACGACTGAGTTGGCGACGACTAGAGTTGTCTTCTCTTTGTGGTTTATCCATAACTGCGCACGAACGATGTTCTCTCCCTCCGTGCTCCTGACGTCTCTCCGCCCCACACTCGGCATCAAAGAACGCTAGCAGGGCCGCCGGGGTCACGCAAACGAGAGCCGCAACACGCCGTCATATCGGCCCCCCCCCCCCGGCCGGAGCCGCGGATCCCGGAGAGCAAACAGACGTATTCCCACGTCCAACGTCACATATATAGGTACGTCCTACATTTTAGAGCCATTCCACAACAAGAAGGCATCGTGACCTTTTTCCGCCTTCTTATTCAACGAAAGAAAAAAAGATAGAAAAATAAGAAGGGAAAAGGGGAAAAGATTGGACTCACAGGGAATCGAACCCCGACTTCTCTCCGCATTCACATAGGTATGCTGCTCTAAACAGTCCATCAAACCGTCCAAATGCTAAGAGAGTGTTATGCCGTTAAACCACAAGCCCCTCGCTTCCCGTGCTGTGCTCAGGGGAGATAGTTGGTTGGAATTCTGACGCACTAATTCCACTTATAAAGGCCGATACGGGCACCAGTTTGGCCGGCAGAAGCGCGTTTGGACCTTATTCTACCTGCCGCACAGTGGGATGTCTTCACATAGGTCATGTTTGCGGTTTGCACTGTAGGGGGCTTAGGTTCGTTTTCTGCTATCCCAAGTGTACCTTGCTGGCGAAGTCATGAGAGCCGAGTAACATGATATGATAGATCTCGTATGAAGCTAGCGATATAGAAGCTATGTGATATAATCATATAATTAAGTAAATCATTAAATACTCGTATCAATCATACAATACATGACAAAGCTGCTGCGACAACCGGTCTCCCTTTCTTGGCAGGACTGACCACCTCATGCCTGAGATGTCCACGTACATTAGGCACCCATTCACAACTCACTCCTCACAGGACCCATAAGCAGAACATCCACCTTCGTCCCCTTCTTCAGCGGCTCCTTTCCAGGCGGCATACAGACGAGACAGTTCGCCCCGCGAAGGCTCGCGACCATAGAGCTGCGCTGGCCACCAGTACTCGTCGCCGCCAGACCACCCCCACCACTACCATGCCTATCCACGAAAGCCACAGCGCGGTGGTACTCAGGCCGCGAGCGGTCGGGCGTAAAGTCGTGCGCGAGAGCCACCGGGACGCGCGGCAGCCCCACGGGCGCGACGCCGGCGGCCTGGTGCAGGGCGGGCAGGACGAACAGGTGAAACGAGACGACGGCCGAGGCCGGGTTACCAGGCAGCGCGAAGACGACCTTCTGGACACGCTCGCCGCTGCCGGATTCCTTGACGGGCACCGTGGCGAACGTGGTCGGCTTCCCGGGCTTCATGGCCACGCGGCCGAAGTGGATGGCGCCGCCGAGCGCGCGCTCGAGCGTGGGTTTGAGCAGGTCGAGCTCGCCCATGGACACGCCGCCGGTGGTGACGACGAAGTCGACGCGGCGCAGCGCGTCGCGCAGCGTGGCCTCGAGCGCGCCGGGGCGGTCCGCCGCGATGCCCAGGTCCAGGGCCGCGAAGCCGCACTCGGCGGCCGCCGCGAGAAGCGTGAGCCGGTTCGTGTCGCGCACCTCGCCGAGCCGCAGCGCGTCGGGCCGCCCGGGCTCGACGATCTCGTCGCCCGTCGACAGCACGCCGACGACGGGCTTCCGGTACGTGCACACCTCGGCGACGCCGACGGCGGCTAGCAGCCCGATCTCGCCGCCTACCGCGGAGACGCGCTCGCCCTTGGAGAGGATGGTCGAGTCCGCTTTGACGTCGCTGCCGACCTCGCGGATGTTCTCGCCCTCCCGCACGTGGTCCGCGAGGATCTCTACCTCCTTCTCTTCCTTGCCGTCCTCCGCCAGCGTCTTCAGGATCGTGTCCTCCACCATGATGACGGACGTGGCGCCCGGGGGCAGCGGCGCCCCGGTCGTTATCCTGGCGATCTGGCCTTCCTTCAGGGGCTCTACCTCGCCGGGCGACGCATGCGAGACCGAGACTACGGGGAAGACGCCCTTCATGTTCCCGTCCTTCGGGACCACCACTGCGTAGCCGTCGACGATGCTGGCCCTGAAGGCCGGTACGTTCTCTCTCGCCCGTACGTCTTCTGCGAGAACGTGTCCAGGTAACGATCTGTCGACTTTAGAGGTGATTATTTCCGGTGAAGGTGTGTGCTCCTTGATCTTTGCCAGGGCTTCGTCGACGGAGAGCATCGGAAACGGGGACTCTCTGTTCCTTCGGCTGGGCCCAAGACTTGGGTCGTTGGACATGGGGTTTGAGCTAGGCGTCGTATGTCTAACAAGATTACCATGGCCGTGATTGTGGCCGTGGCCGTGTCCGTGCCCGTGACCATGACCGTGACCATGACTATGATCGTGATCGTGTTGGTGTGAATGGTCGTGGGTTGATGCATGGCTAGTACCCCCACTAGACTTTATGCCAGCTTCTGCCTCAAGTTTCTTTACTCCGCCGGCATGCAACACCCTTGAGTCGATACCAGCGGCCTGGAGACAGGCATGCGGTAGCGTCTTCAATACTGCCTGCAGGTTTTCTCGGGCTCCTTTTGGAGACCCCGGAAGTGTGACTATTATGGACTTATTCCTGACACCCGCAACCGGACGGGACATCATGGCGAACGGGGTGACGCTTAAAGATGCTGTCAGCATGCCATGCACGATACCTGGAGCCGGCTTATGCAGCAGTGCCGAGATGGCTTCCGGCGTGTTGTCGGATACGGCAAAGCCGGTGCCCCCTGTTGTTAGGACGAGGTTCACGGTATCCGCCGCGACGTCAGTCCATAGCATGATCTGCCGTTGAATCTGTGTGACAACATCGGAGACGATCTTGGTGTCGACAAGCTCCCACTTGCCGCCGCCCTCCTTCTCGAGTACCTCGCTCAAGACGCCTTCGGAAGCATCCGTGGACGGATCCCTGGCTGCCGTCGTGGAGACGATGAGGAGTGCGACTCGGAGGGTTGTATGAGACATGGTGGATTACACGAGACGGAGCAATGAATATACGAGTTTAGTGTCCCAGAGAAGGAAAATATAAGGAACAAGAATTGAGAATGGAGACTTGAATTGTATGATTAGTACACGACTGTGTTATTCACGATAGAAGAGAGTGCGGGGCCGAAATGCGAATACAACATCCTCAGCTTAACGAGCAGAAAGTAATCGCTTCTAAATATTTGGTAATGATTCAGGCACTAATTTGAATTATATCTATCGAAAAAAACTTGGTAAAAAACAATAGCATTGTCCTCCTTTCACTCCTTTCAGAGGAGTCGACTTTGTAAATCGGTACAAATGAAGCTCAACGGTCTTTGAGTTGTGTCATACAGTGAATAATGGTAAAATTCACTATGCTGTGCACTGTGCTACCGTTTGCTTCGATAAGATAAAAGCTCGAAATTTCCAGTAGACCAAACGCGCGCTCGCAAGTTCCGTCACAATCTAGGCTTCTAGGGCAGTTTAACCTTTGGCCCTCCAACCTACAATGAATTCTATTTGTAAAGGGCCAATCTCGAATCAGTTCGCAGGCAGTGTGCCTTGAAGCCAGCCACGATGGTTCGAGTCAAGGAGCGCTACCTACTGGTCAAGATCCTGTACCCCGACGGGCTCGGAAGCCGCTCTGACGTCCCCGACGTCGTCTTGGTCAACCAGCCCACCACCGACGAGCTCAATTCAGCAACACTTATCAAGGGGATACGTGCCGAGGTGGCCAGCCTGTTCGGGGACTACGGTTCGGGGTCTATTGAAGGCGGAAATCTGTCAGGTGTGTTAGAGAAGCCCATGACCTGAATAGCATGCCTCCTACTCCTTTACTTGGAAGAAAAAGAAATGTGCTTACGATTCCTCGTTCCTTACTAGTCAAGTACTGTTCCGCCGCTACCTCGACCTTCATCCTACGAACCTCGCGATCCTCCTATCGGCTTGCATGGGCCGCGCTCACATTTATGAATTCGGTACCTGTTAAGAATGGCCGACCATGCATCTTTCGCGTAGTCCACGTCAGCGGCACAATGCGAAGAGCCGAGGAGGAGGCCATCCGCCAAGCTCGAAACCTCATATTCGCGGCGGAGAAGGAAGGGAAAGGCAATACTGGCGATCCTCTGAGCAACATATTCGGCAAGTCTGAACGGCCGCGACGGGAACACACTATGGCAGACTCACTTGATGTTGAGGAAGACGAAGGCGATAGCAACATCGAGATGGGAGAGCTGAGCGATGACTGAAGGGGTATCACGTCTTCTTTCTGACTACCTTGACTCCACTATCTCCTGTAGGGGGTGGCATGCCGTCAAATTCGTCGTCGTCGTCGTCCGGAATGAGGTCCGGCGTTGTGGCTCCCGTGTCACCACCCTGCGTTATCCTCCGCTGCTCCTCTTCTTCCTTCTTCTCTGCGGCGTCGTACGCCTCCTTCGCGTCGACCCAACGCTCCTGGATATCTCCCACCTCCATCATCGAGTCCTCGTTGCGCATAGCCACCTGCCAGACGGTATCGTTGGCTCCCTCGGCGCCGCCGAAGACGTAACCGCCGGCCCGGTCGATGACCCGCAGAATATGCATCATGCTCTTCTTGTTCTCGACGGCCAAGACTTCGAACCGTACTAGCCCGTAGCTCTCGACAAGGTTTGCGATGGCATCGTTTAGCCGTCGAAACCTGTCGCTGCGCATGATGGGCGACTCTTCCTCCATATCGGATAGTAGATACGACAAGTCTTGCACGTCGGTATAGTAGTCGAGGTTAAAGGGCAACGGGTCGTATGAAGCAACTTTGTCGATCTTGGTCAGGATGTTTATGTGTGGGAGATCCATCTGAAGCATGGCGCGGAGGGTCAGAATCAGGTTGGCGACGTATAGAGACGGTTGCGTAAGGCAGAAGCTGTCTGAGAGGTGGACGGCTACCAGCTGTATTTCGTCAGCAAGTGGGCCCTAGACAAGACTTTAAAGCCTAGACATACTCTATAGCCAAGCTTCTGTAGCTTGAAGAAGACATTTCTTAATGAGTTGTGGTGTGTGTAGAGCTCAACCTGACCTGGGCAGTCGAATAGGATATACGAGTCTCCCAGCTCTTTCAGACCCTTCTCTAGCCATTCCATGTTGTTCTCCAATTCCTCGAAGGCATATAGCACACCGCCATTTGGGCCGAGCTGGTCATCGCTCATGATCTCTTCCAGGGTAATAAGCTCGCGGATATCCAAGGCGCAAGGGTAGTTCGTCTTGTCGTTGGCGGGGTCGAGGTTGACAACGGAGCACTCGCGGCCTATCGCTCCCATGAACTGGTGCACTATACACACGATAGTCAGAATGAGACTCTAAGCAATAGAACAAAGAGGGAGAGAATATGAGCATGTGTAAAGGACTTACTGCCATCGCAATAGGTACTCTTTCCCGCCCCCGGACTGCCCAGGACAAGCTGGGCGAAAGGCATCTCGTGATACGTATGCGCAAGAGAGAATGAGGGTCTTG